AGACACTTTTTGACATCGAAAAGACTATCGAAAGGGTGGCCCAGTTTACACAAGTCGTCTTCATCTTTACAAAAGATTTACCATAAATTATTATTTTTTTTTAAATCAGACAACAATTCATCTTGGAATTCCTCTTATCAGTCTGGTAAGTATTCCATCCTATTATAAAGAAGGCCAGCTGACTTTATTTATATTCTCCAGTAATTGTAAATTACTGTAACTTGTAAATCTCCCATTATGATGCTTTCCCTCTCTTTTTATGCTCAGGTGGAAGGAGCAGTTACAGTGAAGATCCTGTGATCACCACACAAGTGACGATTCCTAAAGATGTGAGTAAATCACTCGTAATGCGATGCGCTTTACACATGAAACACGTGTTTACCTCGCTCTGCTGTGACTCTCAGCTGGCGGGATCCATCATCGGTAAAGGCGGTCAGAGGATCAAGCAGATTCGTCATGAGTCCGGAGCCTCAATCAAAATCGACGAGCCCCTGCAGGGTTCTGAGGACCGCATCATCACCATCACCGGAACCCAAGACCAGATCCAGAACGCTCAGTACCTGTTACAGAACAGGTGTGACACATTCAACGACTTCAGCAGTTCACAGCTCAGTTAGTGTTGGCAAACGTACCGGGACTTCAGTACCAAGTCGATACTACAATTTCAAAGATGTAACAATGCCAGCCTTTACGCAGAGGAAGCTAAAACACAACACTTGCATTTAAAAGTGTAATCCAGCATTTTCTCTAAAAAAATCCTGTTGTCATCGGCGCACAATGAATCTCGGTAGCCTGGGCAATGAAGGATCCGTCAGTTGTATCATTCATACCAGGGGTGGCGAACGTCGGTCCTGGAGAGCCGCAGCCCTGCAGAGTTTTGCTTCAACCCTAATCAAACACACCTGAACAAGCTAATCAAGGTCTGAAGGGTTGCTAGGAAGCTACAGGCAGGTGAGTTTTAATTAGGGTTGGAGCTGAGCTCTGCAGGAGCTCTCCAGGACTGGAGTTCGCCACCCCTGATTTATACCCTGGGAAACGAAGGAGGCATTTTTTGAGGCCGCTTTTGAAGGAGCTCCTGACGCGCTGCGGTGACACGGCCAGAATTGGACGCAGCTAATGTGTTTTGCAGTGTTGAGCTTTGTAGCCAATCACAGACATGTTTGTTGAGCACGAGAGCACAATGGCCAATCAGAGGATTTTAAGTCAGAATCCCCTCATTATGAGTTTAAGCGTGAGCTTGCGTTCATTATAACCGACAAAGTATAAACACAATGTAAATAAGAGAAGTATTATGCAGTATAGACAGACTGCAGACTTTTTTTTTTACTCCGTCATTAAGCTTGTGCTGTGTTTGAACCAAAGTGAAATCAGCTTCATTGATTATAAACAGGGTTTCTGTGGGTCTTAAAAAGTCTTAATTCACGTTTAAAAAGGTATTAAAGCAGAGCAGAAACCCTTAAATTCATATCTATGAAAAAAAAAACATTCATTTATTCATCAATCAATCAGCATTTACTTGAAATTCAAATGTAAATTGTACAAAATTAAGTGAGTTTATACTTAAAACCAGAAAAAACATTGGGGAATGAAAATCTTTCTGTATATAACCTATTCTTAATTTAAATAAGTTTTATTTTTCACACTGCAAAGTTTCAGAAGTGATGACCGTAAGGTGAATCTGAAATTGCGATGGTTATCACAACATCGAGCATCGCAACAGACGTGACAAAAATCTGTTATGTCAGCTAGATCTTTGTGTTAAAGGGTTACTCCACCCCAAAATGAAACTTTTGTCATTAATCACTTACCCTCATGTCGTTCCAAACCCGTAAAAGCTTCGTTCATCTTCGGAACACTTCCGGGTGGCTTGTGACTGTCCCATTGACTGCCAAGTAAATTACGCTGTCAAGGTCCAGAAAAGTATGAAAGACATCGTCAGAATAGTCCATCTGCCGTCAGTGGTTTAACCGTAACGTTATGAAGCGACGAGAATACTTTTTGTACGCAAAGAAAACAAAAATAACCACTTTATTCAACAATTCGTCTCCTCCGCGTCACCGTAGCGCCATTTTGGAGAGTATTCACTGAACGCAAACCGAGTATACTGTTCTACTAGTCTGTGTCAACTGCACCACACGGATACGTTTTCTACGTTTATTTACGCTTTGATTTGAACGAAAACAGCGTATCCGTGTGGTGCGGCTGACAGAACAGCATACACAGTTTACGTTCAGTGGATGCTCTCCAAAATGGCGCTACAGTGACGCGGAAGATAGATATCTTAAATTGTGTTCCGAAGACGAACGAAGCTTTTACGGGTTTGGAACAACATGAGGGTAAGTGATTAATGACAACATTTTCATTTTGGGGTGGATTAACCCTTTAAGTATTGAACAATATTTGAAGGCTACATACTAAAGTTTTCATGTGTTGTAGCATTAATAACTAACACATTTTTTTTCATATTTTTATTTTCAAAAAGTTAACTGGTAACACTTTAGATTAGGAACACGTATTCACTATCAAGATTTTCCCTCAATAAACTCCTACTTTGCTGCTTATTAATAGTTGTAAGTTTAGGTATTGGGTCAGATTAAAGGACCTTAAAAAAGGTCATGCAGAATAAGGCATTAGTATGTGCTTTAATCAGCCAATATGCTAGTAATATGCATGTTAATAAGCAACTAGTTAACAGTGAGAATTGATCCTTAAAATAAAGTGTTACCAGCTAAATAAAAAACAAATAAACTACAATAGTGTTTGCTGTGGTAGTGAAGTTGGTACTGAGAGCCATAGAACTTTACTGGTATTGGTACAGACTACTGAAATGCTGGTACTCTAATCCCAGTGAGCTACAGCACTGTTGCTGACTGATCGTTTCTCTCGCGTGTTTTGTTCTCCAGTGCTCTGCACCTCTTGGGACGGCAGAACTGACCAGCCCACCTTTCTCAGGATGTCCATCCAGCTGCAGCTCAAGTCCTGTCCCCACGTGATGGCCTGACACCTGACGCGTCCGTCTGTCCCCTTCATAGGAATGAATCATAGAATCGAACCAGCCCGAGCCCTCTGGGTGTCCTTGATTGTGGATTTTGTGGGGTTGTTCTTTTTTTTTATTTTTTATAAATATTAATTTTATATGGGCCAACTGTCACTTCACAGAAATCTTGGATGAGCAGATAACTGCTGTTCAACAGGACATTGTTGTTGTTTTCTCTTTTGGAGTGAATGTTTTGTGAGTTCTGATGCTTTTCCACTATTCCAAACTCTTGATCCAGAATGTACACAGTCACACAACAATTATTATTAAAAAAAAATTTTTTTTTTTTTTTTTTACACCTCTTGTTTTTCTGAGCGTTCTAAAATGGCATTAGATAGAGAATGGAATGTAAATATCCAATGATACTATGGAAAATGATTACTCTCTCTGTTCCATGCGTGTAATGTTTTATCCTCAGAAATACAGATCATATTTTCACCAGGTACTTTTCTTGTATTGCTTTTCTCCTGTCTGTTGCTTGGTTTTTAAAATCTAGTGTTGGAAAAAAAAAAGTTTGCTCTACCTCTGGAATTTTTTGTAGGTCTGCCATCCTTAAAGAAGGCCCTCAATCGTGTTTTTTGTTGTTGTTTTTTTTTTAAAGAAGAGAAGAAAAAAGTGGATTTGAAGTTTTAGACTATATTTGTGTCAGAGCAGGACAATAATTCTCACGCTCCTATTCTTTGTTTTATTTTTCTTATCTTTATTTTTTTACTCTTGATTGTCTCAAGTTCTCCAACCAGGCATATTTGTAGAGTTTGTCATTTGTCTGAAATAAAGGAATTGCCATTTTTCCAGCGTGGTATGATTTTTAAATGGTGTCAGTACTATATAATGAAAATCTGGACAAACTAATTAATAATTAAAAACATATAAATGGTGTCAGTACTATATAATGAAAATCATGTCTGGACAAACTAATTAATTAATAATTAAAAACATAAACCAACAGTATAGGCCTACTTCACAAATGTATTTAACTGATGTTTTTGTGCATTCGTCCGAATGAGACTTTGCATTACACTAAACTACTGGCTATGGTGGGATGTGCTTAATTATTGTGAAAATAATGTAACCAGAGTCTCTATGGCCCTAAAAAACAGGCTTGATTTTCTTTAAGCAAAATAGAATTTTCTGATTTTGATTATAGGATGACATACTGTCCAGATCTGTTTCTCTTTTGTGTGAGATTGAGTAATTCTAATTCTATAGAATGTCATTGTATGGTGTATTATCAATTGCCAATCTAAATAATTAGAAGGGGGTTAAAGATTGATTGCAGACATGTTAAAAAAAATCGATCACTTGGACCTATTGCAGTACATTTAGTCCTGTGCTCTTACTCTGTTTGCTCTAAACATGCAATGCAAAATGTGAAAAGTTCAACTTGCCTCGGATATTTTTGCACTTTGGCCGACAGTAATCTTTATGACTTCACACCTTGTTTATGATAAATAAACGTTCAGATATTGTCTAACACAGTTTTCATTGTAGCATGCATATACATTAATTTTGTAGCATATAGGTTATGACCCCCTGTGGTGAAAATCACGTTTTTAACGTTGATTTTTACACGTCTGTGTGGTGTTTTAATATGCTTGTTATTTTGTTACAAATTTGCGAGATATTTGCATTAGACATTAATTGTGGCTTAATTGTCCAAATCAGTAAGGTCTGGTACAAAATACAATCTTAAAAAAAACTGTTCACGAAATACATGTAAATGGAATTTATTAATTCAAGTGCAAAAATGTCTGAGGCAACAGTTGAACTTTTCACATTTTGCATTGCATAAATGTGCAGAGCAAACAGAGTAGGAGCACAGGACACAATTTACTGCAATAGGTCCAAGTGTTCGATTTTTCATTCATTCATTTTAGATTAGTTTTAATGATATTTAAAGTTTCGCAACTTTTCTATAAACCGAATTATTGCGCATTTTTTGCGCACCTGTGGTCAGCTTGAAGCCAAAAGGGCCCGACACAATCCGCATGTCACACTACTACAGTGGCGTTTTAGCAAATAGCAACAAAACAAGCGGGAGAGAGTAGCTTGGCCAACACGGAAAACAAAAGCTAAAGTGTGTGTGTGTTTTCAAGTACAACTTGTTATTAGGTGTTTTACATCCGAGGAGAAAAGCCTGTAATATCTGCAGTTGATATACAACCTAATGTACTTTGTACAGAGAGACCTCCTGCACTCTCCTCACTTCTGCTGATATGAGCGTTGACTAAATTAAAGCAAGACTGTTTGATTACATTTACAAGGACTTTCAACTGAGTGGCGATTTTTTTGGACACGAAGACTTTTCAGTAAGTATAGTTTAACTACTCGCATCATGACAAAATGCAAGTTTCGAGAAAAGAGACAATATCACAATTGGTTAGAAAATTGTCATAAAATAAGGAATAAAATATCTACAACATTTTTAATGAATCGTTTAATCGATAATGATGACTTATTTAAATAAAAAAACACGCAGGTGAAATAGTTTACTGTTAGTTAATTTTTGTAGTATGCTGTGCACAGTATGCAACTTTTCTAATTAAGCAGAACTTAACTAATCAGATGGCTGCGTTCTAAAAACATACTGAGCAGGTACTTTTTTGAATAAGTACTTTTTGACTAAAAAAATGTTCTATATGGTTTTATTTTGTATGACTGTAATCCAGCCTTACTACAGTAAATGTGTCATGTTGTCATTGTCACGTGACCTACCAGTTGTGTCACTTCATTCACAAATGCTCTCCCATGGCCTCATGGGATTGTAAAGTGTGCACTAAATGCACACTTCAGAATCTGGCCAGAAGTATTAGATCATTCGGATAATTTTAATAAATACTGAATTTGGACATACTAGTCTTTTCACATACTTAGTGTAGCATGCCTAGTGTTTTTGCCTATTAAATAGTAGGGATTTATGCATATTCGGATGCAGCATGTGTGGAATACTGTAACCCGCAATGCAATGCGCTCAACTTTACCTTCCACTGTGACCAATGCACCAGTAATACCACACTTCAACTGTCATTGCATTCTACAGTGTCCTCCACTAATATTGGCACCCTTGATAAATATGAGCAAAGGCGGCTGTGAAAATAAATCTGCATTGTTTATCCTTTTGATTTTTAATTTAAAAAAATCACAAAATTCTAACCTATCATTGAAGTTAAACAATTGAAAGTGGGGGGGGGAAACCTCATTGTGAAATAAATGCTTTCTCTAGTTCATGTTGGCCACAATTATTGGCACCTAATTATTGCAACGTCCTTTTCCCAAGATAACAGCTCTGAGTTTTCTCCTATAATGCCTGAAGAGTTTGGAGAACACCTGACAAGAGATCAGAGACCATTCCTTCATCCAGAGTCTCTCCAGATCCTTCAGATTCACAGCTCCATGTTGGTGCTTCTTCAGTTCACTTGACTCATTTTCTACAGGGTTCAGCTCAGAGGACTGGGATGGCCATGGCAAAAGCTTCATCTCTGCAATTCTCCAGCTGTTATCCTTGGAGAGTCTTTGGCCACTCAAACTCTCCTCCTCACCGTGCATTAGGACGATATAGACACACGTCCTCTTCCAGGCAGATTTGTAACATCTTTAGTTGATTGGGACCTCTTAATTATTGTCCTGATGGTGAAAATGGGGATTTTCAATGCTTTAGCTCTTTTCTTACAGCCACTTTTTTGTTTTGTGAAGGTCAACCATCTTGTTCTGCAAATCAGAACTATATTCTTTGGTTTTACTCCTTGTGATGGATGATTAAGGGAATTTAGCCTTTGTGTTCCTCATATTTATAATCCTGTGGAACAGGAAGTCATGGCTGGACAGTTTCATGCTCCTAGTCACCCTGGTGTGCTAAAAATGTAAACATGAATGGGAAAATACTTCAGAGATATTTTACTCTTAAGAATTTCTAGGGGTGCCAATAATTGTGGTCATGGCCAACATGCATTGGAGAAAAACATTTATTTCATCATGAGATTTTCTCCCCACTTTTAATTGTTTAACTTCAATGATAGGTTAGAATTTTGTGAATTTTTTGAATTAAAGATCAAAAGGATAAACAATGCAGATTTATTTTCACAGCCGCCTTTGCTCATATTTACCAAGGGTGCCAATATTAGTGGAGGGCACTGCATTTGTTTTAATAGTATGCATTACTGTGCAGAATGCAAGCAGTATGCTAGTATTCAATTCTCAACAACATTTCTTTTCACACAGAAACCGATGGAGAAGCCACTGTCCCCTCGAGAGTCTGGTCAGTTTGTGGCGGAGCGCAGTCGAGATGTTTTCGTGGATGAAGATGGAGTCAAACGTGTGGTGCAGATGATCTATGATCTCTGGGAGAGCGAGGAGTTCACAGCCAGCGGCTGGAAGAAGATGAATCCTCTGGCCCCTCCGCCAGACTCAGACGAAGCCATCAACTGGGTGTTTGTGACCGACACCATGAACTTCTCCTTCTGGCCTGAGAGGGAGGAAGAGCAGTGTGAGGTGGTGTGTAGAGGAAACACCTATCGAGGGTACATGTCTCTCTGTGCTGCTGTGACCAGAGCTGTGGATGAAGGTGATTGGATTTCTGTCTCTCCTTTTCATTTGATCAGAACATTATTTTGGTCATGAAAACTCTCGGAGGGATTGGCATGGTAATGTACATGACAATGTTAATGTGTTTGGTCTTGGTGGAATAGATCTGCTACGCTGCTGCTGCTGCAGAGCAAGTACCGAGACTTGCTACTGCCAATACATCCACAACATGCTGCTGTGAGCATGTAAGAAATACTGCTGCTGCACATATAACATACATGAAATAACCCCCCCATTGCATACATGAATCACCTCGTAGCAGATCTATACAGGTGGAGCTGGGGAAGGTGAAGGGTTTCTGAAGCAAGCACTAGTCCTATATTTGAATGTTGGGCAGCGAGCTCATTGGCTACCGATACAGGAGAGAGCCAATCAGCTGTGAATTATGTCATTATGTCATATTGAGTTAGACCTATCGGACTGCGCCATCTAGAGTTTCATGCCAGAACTGTGTATATGTTTAACGTTATGATATGTGTGTGATGTCTTTATTTAGGAGTGCCCATTACCAACCCCACTTACTTCTCTCAGATCAGTGAGGCCGAGCTGGCGAAAGTCCTGCGCTCAGACAGCGATACTCCCATGCCGATGCTGAAAGAGCGTCACCAGGCCCTGACAGAGGCCGGCCGAGTGCTCATGGAGCATGGCGGATCCTTCCGGATATTCATGAGTCGCTGTGAGAATGATGCAGAGAAGATGGTGAAGTACATTGTGGAGAATATACCGTCATACAGAGACGAAGCCATGTACGAGGTAAAAATATTCACGTACGTGAAGGCAGGGCAGGTGATTTAGACACTTTTTGTTGTGCTGATTGAAAGTCTCTACACATCCCGGTAGCAATCAATAAGTTAGGTTGTCTAAATGTATTCATATGTATTTCTATCGTCTGTGGAAGGCACAGGACCATGAAATGTTCGTCCAATCATATTCCTTTGTCTGAGGGCTACGGTAGGCTGTTTTACCTGCCTGTCAGTGTATGTATTTGCATACCTCCGTGTGACCCTGTTCACACAGACATGATACGTCATCAGAGCGTTCATTACACTACTGCAGAACGAGCGAGAATGGAAGGCGTTATTATTGTAATATTATGCGCTTCATACTGTAATGTTTTCTCGCCGGTGAATGAGACGTGAGGTAATCTGACAGCGTTGCATTCATCCGTCTCTTATCGTGTCGCTGCTTAGCCTCTGGTCTGCCTGAGTGCGTTCATGTGTTTTGAAGGAGGTGTGGCTTTGGAGAGTGATTTGCAGGAAAGGTGGGATCTTATGCTTTCAAAGCTAGCTTGCTATTGCAAGCCTCTCCAAAATTGCCTACCCTGCCTTTAAAGGATGGATTCAGATTAGAACTAGCTCAGCTTTAATAATAAGTGCGCTTAATTGTATTGAATGTGCATTTGGTGTGTACTTCAAATTAGGGCTGTGCAAAAAATCGAATGCGATTTTCATGCGCATCTCGTCAGTAAAGCCGCTCCTGTGATTAGTAGTAAATCTCCAGAGCTGTAGTTCACTGACAAGCTACACAAAATCGCATTCAAAATCGCAGGCGATTCATTGCCGATTTTGAACGCGATTTTATGTAGCTTGTCAGTGAACTACAGCTCAGGAGATTTACTACTAATCACAGGAGCGGCTTTACTGACGAGATGCGCATGAAAATCGCATTCGATTTTTTGCACAGCCCTACTTCAAATCTTTAAAAGTATATTTATACATTTTTAAAAATTTTAACATTTAAACATTTAAAATGCCACTTAAGTGTACTTAAAGAGAGACACTTTCATGACTGTTTCTTAACGCACTTAAGTACACTTTTAAAAAGGCACTTTGTAATAATGTCAAATTAAAAGTTTACTTTAAAATATATTTTCCCCCTAATACTTTACAGAAGAACACTTATTTTGATGTGCTGACTAACATACTAAAGCACATGTAAGGTACTTGATTATAATATTATTAACTTTAGTGTGTTATTCAAATATCTAGAGTACTTATAATTTAAATGTACTAAATTGCAACATCATTACTGATATGTAATTACAAATATATTTTAACACATGACACACATTTCAATAGAAATTACATTTAATTTTAGTTTACTATAAATGCTTGTCAGTACATTAAGCAGTACACTTTAACTATATTTCAAAGACAATATAATTAAATATGAAATTACATATAAAGATGTACTACATAAGTCAGTCAAAAAAGCACTTTTAAGTTCAACTTAATATATTTATTATACATTTAAACTACAATGCATTTTTAGTAAGCAATTTACATGCTTACTTAAGTCCTACTTAAAGGGATAGTTCACCCTAAAATTAAAATGTTATGTTAATTTATTCACTCTCAGGCCATCCAAGATGCAGGTGATTTTTTTGTTTCTCTTCAGTAGAACAGTAAAGAAGATTTTTAGCTGAAATCGTGGTCTTTGCTGGTTCATAAAATGCAAGTCAGCATCCATCTTTGAGAATGAAAAAAAAAGCATATCAACACAAAATGAATACCCATGGCTCCTGGCGATATATTAAGGTCTTATGAAGCGAAACGATCGGTCTGTGCAAGAAACTGAATATTATATTTATAACATTATTACCTGCAATCCACAGCCTCAGGCTAAATCTGATTCTTTTCCATGAACTGGTTCTTTCAGACAGTTTGTGTCAGTGAACTGGTTCACTTCACTAGTTCGTGAATTGACGTGGATGTTTTACACGTCTAAAGCACTGTATACTGTAAAGTGAATGAACTTGTCTTCACCTTTTTACATAAACAATGAGAAACCATAAAAACTTTCATTTGGCTTCTTCATTCAAGTGCGATTTATTTATTGTGTCCCAAATCACCTTTTTAAACATATGCTAAACCATACCTCTTTTTCGAAAGTAATATCACCTCATGATAACCTCACATTTTGTTGATATTGTAGGGTAAGAGGATCTCATTTTATAAGAGAGCTCAGATCCTTGTGGCAGACTTCTGGGGCATCATGGAGGCACGAGGGGAGGGACACATCCCTAACCTGGACTACCTGACCATGTTCGCTGACTACAGGGTGCCACAAGGCCTCGTGTACCTTGGAGCTTTACGCTACTCTGATGCCCTCATGGAGACATTGAAAAACGGTTTGTTGCACCTTTTTGATAAAATATAATGTACTCAATAGTCATACAAATACTACCATTAAAATAGATTTTGTGTTCGCTAACCAAAATATACTTTAATATTCGTATATAATAATATACTATGTCAAAATTTTAGATATCTTATTTCGATTGTTGGGTGGAACATGGACATTTCTTGACAGGTTTTGCTATATTAATCCTTAAAGTCCCCATGAAATCAAAATTAAAGTTTTTTTGCATTACTGATGTGAATTACAAATATATTTTAACACATGACACACATTTCAATAGAAATTACATTTAATTTTAGTTTACTATAAATGCTTGTCAGTACATTAAGCAGTACACTTTAACTATATTTCAAAGACAATATAATTAAATATGAAATTACATATAAAGATGTACTACATAAGTCAGTCAAAAAAGCACTTTTAAGTTCAACTTAATATATTTATTATAAATTTAAACTACAATGCATTTTTAGTAAGCAATTTACATGCTTACTTAAGTCCTACTTAAAGGGATAGTTCACCCTAAAATTAAAATGTTATGTTAATTTATTCACTCTCAGGCCATCCAAGATGCAGGTGATTTTTTTGTTTCTCTTCAGTAGAACAGTAAAGAAGATTTTTAGCTGAAATCGTGGTCTTTGCTGGTTCATAAAATGCAAGTCAGCATCCATCTTTGAGAATGAAAAAAAAAGCATATCAACACAAAATGAATACCCATGGCTCCTGGCGATATATTAAGGTCTTATGAAGCGAAACGATCGGTCTGTGCAAGAAACTGAATATTATATTTATAACATTATTACCTGCAATCCACAGCCTCAGGCTAAATCTGATTCTTTTCCATGAACTGGTTCTTTCAGACAGTTTGTGTCAGTGAACTGGTTCACTTCACTAGTTCGTGAATTGACGTGGATGTTTTACACGTCTAAAGCACTGTATACTGTAAAGTGAATGAACTTGTCTTCACCTTTTTACATAAACAATGAGAAACCATAAAAACTTTCATTTGGCTTCTTCATTCAAGTGCGATTTATTTATTGTGTCCCAAATCACCTTTTTAAACATATGCTAAACCATACCTCTTTTTCGAAAGTAATATCACCTCATGATAACCTCACATTTTGTTGATATTGTAGGGTAAGAGGATCTCATTTTATAAGAGAGCTCAGATCCTTGTGGCAGACTTCTGGGGCATCATGGAGGCACGAGGGGAGGGACACATCCCTAACCTGGACTACCTGACCATGTTCGCTGACTACAGGGTGCCACAAGGCCTCGTGTACCTTGGAGCTTTACGCTACTCTGATGCCCTCATGGAGACATTGAAAAACGGTTTGTTGCACCTTTTTGATAAAATATAATGTACTCAATAGTCATACAAATACTACCATTAAAATAGATTTTGTGTTCGCTAACCAAAATATACTTTAATATTCGTATATAATAATATACTATGTCAAAATTTTAGATATCTTATTTCGATTGTTGGGTGGAACATGGACATTTCTTGACAG